ACAGTAGTTTTGCGATTTCAAAACATTTAGAAGTGCTAGGCGTAATTTTCACATATTTTTATTTGATAATTTTCTAGGTCCCCAAAGTATAATTTTCAATTCTTAATCACTATTTTGCCCGGCGTCACTTATTCTAATTGACGAAGAGGTAACAAGCTTAGTATTATAATTATTTATTTTGTTGTTTCGTAATTACAATTTTATAGATATTTAATTTTTTTACATATTTTCTATAAAGAAATAATGCACGGGCCATGTTATTCAATGATGTAATCGACAAATTTGACATTATAGTTCAAGAAGGAATATCTTACATTATTCGAAATGGGAACATAAGACCTTCAAAGGAAACTACCAACATGTTAATAATGAAATTGAATTGTCTTTCACGATAATAACTTAGAATAGACCAAGTGATTGTAAGTGACATGATATCAAATTTATTAGTTTTTCAAACTAATGGCGCCAACTCACTTCGAGGGACACAATGAAAAACCTTTGTCGATTTTTCATTAAATACAAAAATCCTTGTTCATTTAGACGTCAAATTACCATGTCGCCAATAGGGGACGATATTTTCTTAAATTAAATTGATTTTATACGTATTTGAAAGGATTATTTGAATATTTCCCCCCTCATTTTCAACTATATGTTTTAAAAAATAAATAAATTTCATAATTCTCTTATTATTATTATTATTTTTTATCATATATTTTTAAAAACTATTTTTCAAATAATCACTCTCGAATAGAGGCTGAGTTAAAAAAAATAAAATAAAAAATTATTGGGCTTGCTGGATTATCACAAGAGAATGATAAGAGCTGAGCTGCTGAAGTGACGTACATGTGAGTCATGATGTTCATTAGGCCCACATAAATTGCAATCATTACTGCTTCTCTTTATGTTAAGGGAAAATCTTCCTATTTAAATTAGAATTATAATTCATTTTTATTTCCCTCTTTATCAATCACACTTTTTTCGATAAAATAATATTACACGTAATTTCAAATTTTTTTTTTAACCACATATTTTTCAAAAAAACTATTTCAATCATTAAAATTTCAAATAATGGAAGCCAATAAAATCCAAGGACAATATTTTGGGAGAATCCAATTCTCTCCCAACAATATAATTACATTTGGGATTTGGGAAAAGAACAAAAAAAAAAAAAAGCAAAGATTATTCTCACGAAAATCTAGGAATAATGTTTTGGATTGTTTGTTTTGGTGAAGAATAATGATGCTTGAACGCGCTAAATAATATGATAAAAACGGACATATTGATTTGGCAACACCTACTTTGATTTTTTTTATTTTTCAGATTGTCCAATCTTGTGTCGACACGTGTTTCCTTATTTTTAAATCTGTCATTTTGATAAATTACTTTTCACAACACAATCAGCAGTTGTTTGCTAGATACTCACACAATGTGACTGCACGAGTACGTAATTTTTATGTTAGTACTAATGATAACAAATTGCCAATTCAGAGAACACACTCTTCTTGCACTGTATAATCAATTTCTCCGTAAAGAAATGTTTTACTTTTCTACTTCTTTATTATTATTTTAAACATCATGGGTGAAATTCAAAATTATTTCTTATACTATTACTCTTTATAAACTTGTCAAACAAAATATTACATAATCTCCAACTCGATTTATTTTTTATTTTATTTGATAATACTAAATTCATAAATAAGGACATGGGATCGTAACAACTAACATGAGATATTTAATCGTCTCGTCTTCCTACCGTTATCGCAATTCTTATTTCCAGCCCGTTTGACACCCCTTTTTTGTGTTTTTGGCAAAACTCATTCTTTTACAGTAAAGGAAGACAACAATGTCCACACTCAAACTTTGTGTCAGAATCCCAATTTAATGCATATTCCCGTTGAGAATTCCTTCCGAATTTGCCCTCATAAAATAATTACAATTTTCCACAAATACCCTCACTCATTTCAACCTAATGAAAGGGCAATATCGGAAACAAACATTGAAATGGTTAGAAAGTACGAATTCCTGCAGGTGGGATGGGAACACTTTCTGACGGATTTGAAAGATTTGGTACATGGGTCCCACGTTTTTTGAAAAAGAAACTGTAGAATGAATTTTTTTACCAAAAAACGGGTATCAAACGCAGGCTTCATATCAAAATGTCAACCCCTAACAAAATTTGTTAAAACATTAAGCTTGACGCACGGGACAAGAGTCTAAACTTTAAAGGGTTTCACGGATATCTTATATTTATTAATAAAATAGTTTATTAAGATGGAAAGCAACCTCTTTATGCAAACTGTCAGTGGTAGTTCGGAAATCTAATCCTTTTGTCAAATCTTGGAAAATCATTAAAAATAGCAAGAAATATCAAACCTAATTGATTTGGTAATAATTATGTGATTGTTTGACACTCATTAAAATGGGTTGAAAATTTTTAGAATAGTGATTGATAGGAGAATGTGTGGTGGAAAAATGATGAAAAGTTTTACGTTTGTGTGTAATATTATTTTATTTGGAGATTGTGCGGTTGAAATGAAAAAAGAAAATAAGGGACTGTTTGGTACAGATTCTCCTTTTCTATAGTAAATCAATTCTCATTTTCAACCACACATTTTTCAATAAAATAATATTTTCCACCACATCAATACTTTTTTCTTCTTTTTCAACGACACACTTCCCATCAAATCACTATTCAAAAATCAATTCTTCCCCAAAAAATCTCTACCAAACACACTCTAAGAATGAGAAAGAGAATGGATTCAAAACAGGGGCTATAATGAATACTTTGAAGAAAGTCAAAAGCTGCTGCTTCTGCTTCTTCTTCTTCTAATCTCTACACATTGAACGCACAAATCACTCCACTCATGTTTAATCATTCTTTCCATTTTTCGCAAAAAAAATTTTAAAAAATTAAAATTAAAATTTTTGGGATGACANCTTAATCGTGTGAAAAATGAAACAAGTCTATGGCCCTTTTTGTTTCTGATTCTCAAATCAATTCTCATTTTCAACCACACATTCTTCAATAAAATAATATTTTCCATCACATCAATACTTTTTTCTTCTTTTTCAACGACACATTTTCCATCAAATCACTATTCAAAAATCAATTTTTCCCCAAAAAACCCCTACCAAACACACTCTAAGAATGAGAAAGAGAATGAATTCAAAACAGGGGCTATAATGAATACTTTGAAGAAAGTCAAAAGCTGCTGCTGCTGCTTCTTCTTCTTCTTCTAATCTCTCTACATATTAACGCATAAACCTACCAAATCACTCCACTCATGTTTAATCATTCTTTCCATTTTTCGCAAAAAAAATTTAAAAAAACTAAAATTAAAATTTTTGGGATGACA